TTCTCACCTCTTTCCGCAAAGGGTACCTTCCATCATGCATAGCCGGTACTCCTGCTGGCCGCCGTCAGCCTTGCTGGGTATCACATCCGCGCAATGTCCCTTTGCAGACCCTGCCTCTTTGGCCAGACGAGCCAACGACGACGACGACTCTGGATCACGCAGCCACGTGGCCCAGTATGAGATTGACGACAAGGATGAGTTTATGACCTCCGATGTTGGCGGGCCGATCGAGGACCAGCAGAGTTTGAAGGCCGGTGGCACCAGGGGTTCTGTTCTCCTCGAGGACTTCATCTTCCGCCAGAAGATCACTCGCTTCGACCACGAACGAGTGCGTACCCTCGTTGGACGATGGCGCATATGCCAACGGTGACTGACGGTCGCAGGTCCCTGAGCGCGCCGTCCACGCCCGTGGCGCGGGAGCATACGGAACGTTTACCAGCTACGGCGACTATAGCAACATAACGGCTGCTAGCTTCCTGTCCGAGGAAGGCAAGCAGACCTCGACATTTGTGCGCTTCTCAACCGTCGCCGGATCGCGCGGCAGTGCGGACACGGTGCGTGACGTCCACGGCTTTGCGACTAGATTGTGAGTGTCCTTTCTGCTGAATGTGATTTGATGCCATTTCTGACAAGTGCTAGCTTCACGGACGAGGGAAAGTAAGTAACCTGATGTGACAAGCTACTATCCAGGGTTCGATACCGAGTGAGGCTGACTCTGCTAGCTTCGACATTGTTGGCAACAACATCCCAGTCTTCTTCATCCAAGACGCAATTCAGTTCCCTGACCTCATCCACGCCGTCAAACCTCGCCCCGACAAGGAGATCCCCCAAGCGGCCACTGCTCACGACTCTGCCTGGGACTTTTTCAGCCAGCAGACGTCCACCTTGCACACGCTTTTCTGGGCGATGGCTGGTTATGGTATTCCTCGCAGCTACCGTCACATGGTATGTCTTTTAAGCAAGGATCCTTTCAGAATACGATATTGACAAGGTCCAGGACGGCTTCGGAGTGCATACTTTCCGCTTTGTTACGGATGACGGTGACTCGAAACTCATCAAGTGGCACTTCAAGACGCGCCAGGGAAAGGCGAGCCTGGTGTGGGAAGAGGCCCAGGTCCTAGCTGGTCAGAACGCGGACTACCATCGGCAGGATCTCTGGGAGGCAATCGAGTCCGGAAACGGGCCAGAGTGGGAGCTCTGCGCCCAGATCATTGACGAGGAAGACGCTCTCGCCTTTGGTTTTGACGTCTTGGATGCGACCAAGATTATACCCGAGGAGTACGCACCGCTTCACAAGCTCGGCGTTTTGAAACTGGACGCCAACCCAGTCAACTACTTCGCCGAAACCGAGCAAATCATGGTATGGTCCTCCAAAGCACACGTGTCGAACGAAATCCTAACTCTTGGCAGTTCCAACCCGGTCATATTGTTCGCGGTATCGACTTCACCGAAGACCCTCTTCTCCAGGGTCGCGTCTTCTCCTACCTGGATACCCAGCTCAACCGTCATGGTGGACCCAACTTTGAGCAGCTGCCCATCAACCGCCCCATCACCGGCATCCACAACAATAACCGTGATGGTGCTGCGCAGAATTTCATTCATCGCAACAAGAGACCATGTGAGTTGTCCCCCTTTTCCGGCTGCTCTCATGTTCGCACGCTGACTCTGACGGCTCAGACACGCCCAACACGCTCAACAATGGGTCGCCCAAGCAAGCCAACCAGACCACTGGTCGCGGCTTCTTCACAGCGCCTGGACGAACAGCCGATGGAGGTCTCGTTCGTGAGAGGTCGGAGACGTTTGACGACCACTGGTCTCAGCCGCGCCTCTTCTACAACTCATTGTCGCGTGTTGAACAGCAGTTCTTGATCAACGCGATTCGCTTCGAGACATCCAACCTCGAGTCCGACGACGTCAAGAGAAATGTTCTTCACCAGCTCAACAAAGTCAGCAACGACATTGCTAATCGTGTTGCGTCCTTCCTAGGCCTGGACCGGCTGGAACCTGACTCACAATACTACCACGACAACACGACGCGTGACATCTCCATCACCGAGAACCGGCTGCCCACGATTGCCACGCTCAAGGTCGGTCTGTTGAGCAGCCTGCAGTCTGCAGAGTCGCAGGCACAGGCAGAGGCTTTGAAGGAGTCCCTCGAGGCCGAGGGGCTCGTTGTCAGCATCGTGGGCGAGACCTTGGATGGTGCCGTGGATACAACGTACTCGCACGCTTCCGCCACAGCGTTTGACGGCATCATTGTCACGACGGGCGCTGAGGACCTCTTCAGGCTGTTTGGGTCGTCGCCCCTCTACCCGTCCGGCCGGCCTCTGCAGGTGCTCCTCGACTCGTACAAATGGGGCAAGCCCGTGGGCGAGCTGGGCTCATCGAGCCGTATCCTGTCAAACCTCGGTATCAACAGCACCGACGGCGTCTACACGAGCTCGGATGCAAGCGAAGGGTTCATCAGGAACTTTGGTGAAGGGCTCGCCACTTTCAGGTTTACGAGCAGGTTCGCCACGGATAGTGCCTCTGATTATGAGTCGTAGGCGGCTTCTAGTGGCAGGAGAATCCTCGCCAGGAGAGTCCATTCTTTGTACATGTTTAGCCTAGTTCGCAGAGGACTGGGTAGATAGCTTCTTTCAGCATGCTTCATGGCGAAGGCCATCACTTCACTGTTGCCTCGTATACGTAGATTCGCCTGGAGACCCGAGTACCTCAGGCCAAACTAGAGAATCCAAGCCTTGACAAGAAGCACAAGCTGACTGTGGAAGATTGACTATTCGCTTTTCCTGATGGGACGAAAAGTCCAGTGATGTGAACTGGGGCACTCGTCTCGTGACGCGGCCGCCGTTGGCGCGGTCCCCCACGCTCTGCGCCTCCCGGAATCGGTGTGGAGATAAGGCTGATAAGGACCCCAGCGTGATCGACGACCTCGACACCCAAGACATGTCTGACGACTCGTGGTCCAAACGCATGATCGTGTCAGGCGGCTTTGTATCAATAGACGATTTGCACGCTCTCGCACTCCGAGCGGCACCCGACACGGACCTCGCAGCCAATCGTCATTTAGAGGAAGCGGCATAATCGTCGACCGACCGGCGGTCTCCATTGCGACCCGCCATCATTCACAGCGGCCTTTTGGTGACCTCTCGACCCGAACGAACATCCCCCCCGAACCCCTCATGTCACGTTAGATCAGCACTTCAACACCACCGGCATTTCAGGGTGCGTCCCAGCGAATACGATGGATCGAATCAGAGACCTCTTCCGACAGAAGGACGTCCGCGAGGAGTACAGTCCCATCGTCGAGGATGACAACCCGATGGAGGGCACAGCCTTGCTGGAAGACGACGGCGAAGGCGTGCCCTTCTCGTGGTTCGAGTACAGCATCTTTGCGCTGTTGGGCATGGCGATGCTCTGGGCCTGGTGAGCCTTTGCGGTTCCCGCCACCAATGCACACAGCTAGCTAATCCTGTCCTCCTCTAGGAACATGTTCCTTGCCGCGGCACCGTACTTCCAGCTGCGCTTTCAATCCGATGTCTGGATCACGCAGAACTTCCAGTCGGCTATCCTGACTGTCTCGACGATCACAAACCTCGGCGCCATGCTGGTCCTGACGAACATGCAGGCGGCTGCCTCGTACCCGTTCCGCATCAACCTCGCGCTGACGATCAACGTCGTCATCTTCATGCTCCTCACGGCGTCAACGTCTATCTTCCTCGACGCGTCCCCGGCCTTGTACCTCACCTTTCTCCTGACCATGGTCGCCGCCACGGCCCTCGCTGCTAGGCCTCATCCAGAACGGCGCCTTCGCCTTCGCCGCCTCCTTCAGTAGGCCC